CCGGCCTTTGTCTGCGGCAACCCTAATGGCTCCTGCACATTGGACGAGGAAATGCTTACCGCGCGGCATAATGTGACGCGGTAGCCAATAAGCTTACAGCTCCTAACATGTTCATTGGCTGCGTTTAGCAGAACGTTCGTTTTGCAACTGTTGGAAGTTTCCTTCGCGCTGATTGGATCATACTTTTAGATCTAGAAGAATGGTCCTATCTCAGCAGACAATCATAAAACGGTTGCAAAACTGTTGATGCCTGGTTTATGCTTCGGTCTTAACTCTAAAATTCTAAAATTCAACCAATAGGGCTGCCAGTTTTAATTGGTTCTAACTGAAATCTGTATTCCATTGGCTAAATTTTAGGATTTTAGAATTAAGACCGAAGCATAAACCAGGCATGAGTCTGCTGAACGCAGCCCTTGCCTTTTGCACCGTTCTGCCAAACCCAGCATATACTATAGAAAAATATATGGATGCTGGGTCTATCTTATATGTCTATGGTTCTAAGCTTCCACCATGCTTTCCACCATGTTTCATACAGTTTGATTGATTTGTTATTTATATTATTAGCATACGAGCGTACGGGTTTTCCTTCACGTTGTTTAGACCTCCATCGTTTTACAGTCTTGTGCAGTGTAAACTAGAACTTTTTTAGTGTCATTTTAATCGTGCATTGTCGAAAGTATCGGCTAGAAAAAAGGTTGAACGAAAATAGAGAATCATTTTAGGGCAATCACTGACGTTTTAGAGCGATTTTAATTAATAGCCAAGTCTTTCGATCAGCTGAACAGCCCGTCAGAAGATCTACGCCTGTCACTTTTTGTTACTTGACAATGGCTAATAATGGTATTAAAGAGATAAAATTTCCGTGCATGTAATCACGTATGGACTTAGGTTATATTTAATCTAATTATTGTAGACGAGAACAAAAGCGAGAGTTCTGCCGAAATAAAAGCTGAAAACGAGGAGGAGGACTCCGAAGAGCCTGATAAGATATTAATTATAGATCCTGATAGCGAAGTGTGTTTTTTAATTAATTATTTTTATTAAACAGAATATTTGATACATTTTCGAAAGATATTAATTATAAATCGCAACATCGAAGTGTGTCTTTCTCAATGTCTATTTTTATCAATATATATTGAACATTAATCTCAGTTCAACTTATTCTTCAATTTTTTCTAGCTTTAGGCCCGGTTGTTCTACTTTTGGTAAATTTTACCTGTTGGGTAAGTAGCAAGATTATCACATGTGCGGATTGCCAGATTTACCTAAACCTGGAAACACAATAGACACAGGCAATAGGCACAGGCAACAGAGAATAATGAGCCGTCCAATCAGAGCTGTAGAGTATAAGTTCGATATTATATCCCAGAGCTCTAATTGGACGGCTCGTTATTCCCTGTTGCCTGTGCCTATTGCCTGTGCCCATTATTTCCAGCTTTACAGGTAAAATTTACCAAGTGGAACACTGGCTCTTAACGATCATTTCTACCAATATATAGACTAAATTACTCAGTTTAACTTGTTATTTTCCAGTTCTAAGAATTAGAAAAAGGTAAACAGCAAATTAAACTGAGATTAAATTACATTGGTAGAAATATGGACATACAAGAATTATAAAAAAAGTAAGAGTTGAATCAAAATTAGAGTATATTAATATATTTTAATAGAAAAATTAACGTTATTGCTTTATTTTGTTTTGTTAAATGAAGCTTAAATTTTTCAACAATCGCCATGTATTGCTGTGAATTACTTTATAAATGAGATTATTGTTATATCGATGTTTTAGGAATTAGACTTCAATCACTCAAGATTAACCAAACTGGAAAATCTAGAACCATTAACACAAGTACGAAGATTATGCTTTACATGGAATCTCATTAAAAAGATAGAAAATCTTGATACACTTACTAGTTTGGTAGAATTGGAATTAAGGGATAATCAAATTATGACAATAGAAAATCTAGATGCCCTGGTGAATCTAGAGTATGTCTTTGACTTTAATTTTGTATAATGCATGACATACATGTATCTATAGTGCCCACCAAAAGTACCTGGCCAGCTGAATATCTCAGAAAGTATGCATGTTTGAGAAAAATGTTTTAGACAAAGATTGTAGGATTTAAAAAGATCTATTAATGATTTTATCAGTTTGACTTTGGTTGGCGTCGTCAATATTAAGTTAAGGTTATCGATTTTTACAGGTACATCGATTTTTTTTAAATTGGATACCCTATTTTTGATACCAGAATCTAATAGCTGATGTCAAAAGCTTTTCAAAACGCTACAATAAAATTCATTTTCATTAATTACTTTTCAATATAAGGCTTGAAAGTTACAGTACCTCTATTATTAGTATTACCTAATGTGTCCAACTAACGACTAAAACCTCTTGAATGTTCATGCTCTGGATAACATCCGTTAAGTTGCACTGAAAATTCATTTTTACGTAAAAATAAAAATATAAGAAAAACAATCTCCAATGACCTTGATCTTGACAAATGTTATTCACGACATGATCCTGAACTTAAAAGATTTTAGCCGTCGGTTGAATACCTTGCGTAATGCTAATGCCGACGGTACTGTAACTTTCAAGCCTCATAACTCGAAAAGTACGTAATGAAAATGAACTTTATTGTAGCGTTTTGAAAAGCTTTTGACATTGGCTATTAGATTCTGGAATCAAAAATAGGATATCCAATTTAAAAAAAATCGATGTTGACTTGATATTGGCAATGTCACTCAAGATTAAATTGAAAAGATCAATAAATAGATTTAAACCCTACAATCTTTGTCTAAAATATTTTTCTCAAAAATGCATACTTTCCAAGATATTCAGCCGGCCCGAAACTTTTGGCGGGCACTGTATATGCACATAAATTCTAATAATTTTTATGGGGTTTCAGACTCTTGGACTTGTCATTTAATCGCATTAAGAAAATAGAAGGGTTAAGCAACTTATTGAATTTACAAAAATTATTTTTATCGTCAAATAAGATTTTACAAATCGAGAATATCTCGCATCTGGCGAATCTTGCGACGCTGGAATTAGGCGATAATAAAATACGTAAAATTGAAAATCTCGAGGGTCTTGAGAATCTGACCAATCTGTTTCTCGGTAAAAACAAAATTACCAAAATCCAAAACTTGGAAAATCTGAAAAACCTCACGTTGTTAAGTCTACAAAGTAATCGAATTACAAAGATTGAGAATATTGAAGAATTAAAGAAATTGAATCAATTGTACTTGTCGGAAAATGGTATAATGTGTATAGAGGACATAGAAAATTGTTCAGAATTAACAACGTTGGATCTAGCTAATAACAAAATCAAAAAGATTCAAAATATGGATCATCTTGAAAGTCTTGAAGATTTCTGGGTAAGAGGAATTGACCAATAAATATTTTTGTATTACGTAATGTGTATTATTATAACTGATTATTTATTTTTATTCAACATTTACAGATGAATAACAATGAAATTGAAGATTGGAACACATTGGAGAGTTTAACAGCCAACAAACAATTACAGACCGTATATCTGGAGCACAATCCCATTGCGAAAGATCCAAATTACCGAAGAAAAGTCATGCTGCTGTTGCCATGGCTCGAACAGTTGGATGCAACTCTCTGTAAGAGAAAAACTGGCCAACAGTGGGGAGAATAACAAAAAGTAATACATGAATAGGAAGTACGATTAAAGAAATAGCATAAATTGTCTATGAAGGATCCATGTGATGGAATCCAGAATTACATTGTTGTTACTTTTTTCTTGTTGTTTACTCTGATATGATCATTGTATAGAAGCTTGGCCACATAAGATTAATAATAATACTAATCCTGAAGACACGCTTGATATTAAGCTATTATGAAATTACTTGATGTTGGAGTTTGTTTTATAATTTATTCAAAAATCCTTTTTTTGTACTCTGTGGAAAGCAAAATGAGATAGTCAAAATATGAAAGATAATTCTCGTGTCGTGATAAATTTAAATAATTCTCTATTTCGAAAAAAATCTTTATATGTTCTTCCTACTCTAATTACATATACTATCGTATTATATTTGTACACATTTTTATCTCTATTTGCACTCATCTTTATCGATTATATTAAGCTAATATATAGATTTTAATATTCCAATATATATACACATATAATTTATTTTTAACTACGTATTGTTACAAAAATAAGATGTATATTTGTATTTTATAGCAGTACAAGACAGCTTTTTGTATTCGCCACTTTGTTGATCCATCTTGATAACGCGATTATTATTAAAATGTAATCGTACAAAATATTCTAAGCTTATATAAATAAATCATTATTAAATGTCTCGAACTCGGCCAAAAGTCGATCATTCTCAAACTGCAACGTGAAACGACGAGTAGAAAATTAATTATACTTTAAATTATAATTAATTTTCTATACTATCGTTTCACGTTGCAGTTTGAGAATGATCGACTTTTCTGAAATTAAAATTAATTCGTTATCAACATGTAATTCAAAGTCATTAACAGAAGAATAATTTCTATATATGAAATAAATTATGTCATAAATCTGTTTGTTCTATGAATATTTCGTATACATTTGCATTTTCTTTCTTTCGAGCCTGTGTGCGCATCTATTCTATCTCGAGCGCGAAAAATACGAAGAATATAATTAAAATCGTCAAACTACTATCACTATACCTTTTTCTTTTCTTTTATGTCCATTTCTGCTAATATAAATTAATTTTAATCTCGGTTTAACTTATATTTTGTCTTTTCTTCGATTCGTATGTACTTGACCGAACAAGTACATCGGTTAAAAGAATTACTATTCCAAAACGTTTGTATCTTGTATAAAAAGATTTGTGAGTCATTCTGTTAATTGTAATTAATTAATCATTTTTACACCATTTAGCCGAAAAAAATAACGGGAGGTGAATTAAATAGCATTTTTACAAGAGAGGAATCGTTTGTATTTCGTATGAAGAGTTATGAAGTTTATTAAAAAGATTTGTGAGTCATCCATATAATTATAATTAACTATATAAAAATCATGTAATTGACCGAATATAGATTGAAGGTGCTACAGCGCTCCGGAAGTTCCGTCAGGCGCTATCGTCAGTCTCTTGGGCACGTATTATCGAATTGCTTGAAATTGAAATGAATTCTGATAGGAATTATTTCCTTTTCCTACAGTTTCTTTAGAAAACACAATAGAAATGTAAGCCCATTCAAGTTTGTTGCGACAGCCACTCTGAAGCGTTGATTTCAAAATGCAGGCTTCAGATTGACTGTCGCAACAAACACGGTCTACTTGCGTCTAATGTGGAATGGGCTTTATAAATATAGTTTACACCTCAATCGAATTTAATAACATCCGTAATTAGAAAATAACCAATCACAGTCATTCTATTCTTCAGAGGAAAAAGTATGTACGTACATTTTAATATATTGTTGCGTTCTTCGCCTCCGTGCTACCGTATACCGATGCAGGGTGATTCGTTAGTTGACCTGTGAAGTGCGAAGAAAATCAATAAAAATGGAAAAAAGAAGGTCGATCCTTGGTGACAGTCGAGTTGATTTTCGAACGTTCTGAAAGGTTGACAGATTGTACCCTTTACCAATAAAAGTTCCTTTCTTTGAGAGCAATAACGGTATCTGTTTATTTTGCGCATGTGCTAGAATGTTGCGAAGCATGCTCGTTTCTGGAAACGATTAATTCTCGCGGTAGATGCAACATTTTGTATGCATAACAAATCTGATAGGTTCAAAGTTTAGAAATGTGCTGCGATTGATAAGCAATCCCGTTTGACAATAGATGGTCAATTTCATTAGGTTGAAATTTTAATTCAGTTAAAATTTGTACAGTGTCTTCACCGGCTTGTGGGTTTCTTTGATTTCCAAGAGAAATTCCGGGCGTTCGAGATAAACGAGGAGCAGGATTTGGAATTAAATTGTCTTCTACAATTGTAAATGTCTGCCTCTGCTTATTGTGAATATGTAACGTGACGTCTTTCAAATTTAGCACTGGTGTCACACATGCATCAGTGCCGTCAAATATAGCGCACCATTCCGCTTGAGTCTTCGTCTTGAAAATTTCCGTGATTTTACTACGATTTTTTTCAAAATTTTCGTATTGTGGTACTTCGTTGCTTGAGAGACCAAGCTTTTCTAGAAAAATTTTATAAAACTGTGGTTCGAGCGCTCCAACGCACATGTAAAGCTTATCCTTCGTCTCATATGTATCGTAAAAGTGTGATCCTGTGTCAAGACTGTGAAAAAAAAAATAAAAAATTCTTTACAAAACAAAAATTAAAAGCATTTGTATGTTCCAAAGAAATGCTTACAGATTTCTACCACGTGGATTTTCCCATATACCCATTTTTTGAGATCTGAATAACCAGGACCCTAAATATGCTGATCCCTCTACCATTGATGCATCTATCACCTGTCCGACATTGCTCTGAGTTCGCTCATATAATGCCAAGATTATTCCAAGAGCGCACATCAAACCGCCGCCACCAAAATCAGCAGCCAGATTGATGGGTGGTGTAGGTTTTTCGTTATATCGACCAAATAAAGACAGTAATCCTATATTAACAATTTATAGTATTAATAATTTATAATCTCATAAAATAACTAGGTCCTATTGATGAACAATATGGTATGATAAGGCAAATTAAAAAAGAAAATGCATAAAATGCATTTTATTTTTATGTGAATACAATTAATGAATATATAATGTAATATGGATTATATTATATGTATAATGTTATATCATAACGTTGTATGTTTTAACATATTACCAGATAAACCTAAATAATTGATATCATGACCAGCCATATTTGCAAAAGAGCCATTTTGACCGTATCCAGTTAATCTAGCATATATCAATTTTTTATTTGTTACCATAAGTTCATTTGGTCCAATCTTCAACTTTTCCATGACTCCTTTTGAATATATATTTATGTAAATTAAAAAATTTCATTCTTATCTTGGTGAAAAAATTTCGCTAAAATTATTTCACATTTTGGAAAATTTCAGCGAAATTGCTGAAAATTTACTAAAATTTTACTGAAAATAAATTGTGATTTTTCAGCTAACATACTGAAAAATCACTGAAACTTTTCTGAAGTTTTGCTGAAATTTCTCTGAAATTTTTGCTGAAATTTTCCTGAAAATGAATTTTTCAACTAAAAATCGCTGAAGTTAAATTGAAATTTTTCTGAAATGCTAAAATTTTGCCGAAAAGTGTTCCAAAACGTAGAATAATTTCATTGAAATTTTTCCACTAGGGTAGTTAGTTTTAATGCAGAAATTTAAAATTAAATATTTCCTTATTTAAAAGTCTGATTTTAAAGTACATTAAAATTTAATAATACTATATAATATATTCTATATACAGGGTGTTTCATTTTAATTCATATACTGGACTATCTCGAAAAGAAGACATAGGATTAAAAAAAGTTTCAGACAAAAGTTATGTGACTTCGAGGGGGACACAAAAAATGGTACCATGTGTTTAACCTTGGGTGACGTTGTCAAGGTCAGAGCAAGGTCACTTTGAGCTTTTTAAATGAAATCCCCCATTTATTCTCGTAGCTTACCTCGAAAGCTTTTCAAAACACTAATCCCGGATAGCAAAATGCTAGCGGTACGCCAGCGATACGCCAGCAAACTTGATCATGACATTACAGCAGACATCAAGCTGCTGCTTTCTCATTAAGCTTAGTTTCTAACAGCATAACCTGCCAACAGAACGATGGTAGAAATGCAATAAAAATCGAGTATTCTTTGTTACAAATATTGTGACAGCAAATACGTAGCAAATACCCTTACGAAAAAAATACTCAAAATAACATCGAAATTAGAGTAATTAATTAAATCAATTGACGTACGTGTACGGTTTGAAATTAAAATATACCGTTATAATATTAGATGGGTATATCATTTATATATAAATATATTTTTTATTATTCAAGCTAAATTTGCAGCAATTCCAATTGCGATAAAGGAAAGTTCCCTTCGAGTGCCACCTGCGCAAATTGGCTGGAACCGTCCCCGTGACATTTGAGGCAGTTTACTGTATTTGTTTTTTTGAAGGTCTTGCAATTGTGTTCAAAGTTATTTAAACAACAGTTAAGCAATATTTTGCTATTTAAATTTTTCAAACTACTTTACAGTTCCTATTGAGGATTTTCATTTAACACCGACACTTATTGTCACTCAGATTATAGCACTCATTCCAACATTCATTGATTATCTACGAGGTAATATTTTATTCTTTTATTAATAAAAGTTTTGCTTGGCTATTTCTGATACTTTTTTCAACAAGTACTGTTAACTAACACTATTTTATTTAAATAGTTATTATTGAATATATCTTAATAATTTGTATTTCACAAAGTATAGTAAGGCCAGCAAAAATGTTAGGAAAACTTTTTAATGTTGAAAAAGTTGAGCCTGTCATAAATGAAGATAATGATGAAAATTAATATACATATTTGATAATCCTTTCAAAAGTGTTTCTAAGTATGTATTATTTCGCATAAAATGATTATAAATAAATAAATTCTGTACATCATGCATTTTTGCATATAATTATTTTTTTAATTTCTTAAAAATGGTATTTTTATTTGTATAAGTATAATTTTAGAAAATGAGTTAATAAGGAAATATAAAATTAATTTCGTAATATTATAAATATAAAACGAATTTTGAGTTAAACAGCCTTGTAGATTAAAAACCTAAAATCTCTTGACATCATATTAAAGTAAGATAAATTTATCATGTTTATGTGCTTAAAGTCAGAAATTGGTCTTTGCTTTAAAAAAAAAAAAAAGGGAAATATGCTGAAATCAGTTAAATTAATTTTTCTAAAGGAAAAAAAATGAAATTCTGGTTGTTTAACCTATGCAAACTTTATAATATTACAGTTTTAAAGTATTATCTACAGAAGTGGGATCGAAGGTAAGTAAAATTACATTTAAGAACAACTTAAAATATGTCAACTAATATATTATTTAGGTCGGAAAATGGCAAAAAAACGGTTTTAATTTTTTTTTCGGTATGTTTCACCAAATCTAAAAATCTGAAAAAAATACCAAATATAATTTATAATAAGATTTAGTTGCTGAATTATTTTAAAAGTGGTCAAACATTTAGATCATATAAAAAATACTATTTTAAAAATTCTTGAATTTTTTAAAAACAGAATTTTTAGCCAAAAATGATCTTACAAAATATTCTTACTCTAATCTTTTTGATACCCTTTATATCCGTGATTTTTTTGTAAAGATCCATTTAGATTTAGCGGAGAAAAAAATACTAATGAAAAATCACATTTCGATATCTCGAAATGGTGTGTGGCTCTTTTGGGATGAAACTCTTTGTACAATAAAATATTCTTTCATCAGAGTGTTAATTTTGTCCCCTATGACTTGTACTGTAATTTTTTATATCAAAAATAAGCGAGATATTTCAGATGGTCGATTTAAGTGGACCACCTTGTATAACTCGAAAAGTACTTAATGAAAAAATATTTTATTATAATGTTTTAAAAATCTCTCAAGCTACGAGAATATGTAATGAAAAATTGGGGGTTCCATTTAAAAAATTTAAAGTGACTTTGCTTTGACCTTGACAACGTCACCCAAAGTGGAACCCATGGTATCATCTTGTGTCTTCCTCGAAGTCACATAACTTTTGTCTGAAACTTTTTTTAATCCCATGTCTCCTTTTCGAAATATTCTAGTGTATCAATTAAAATGAAACATCTTGTATATGTACCTCTCCTGTACGTATCAATGATAACGTCGCTTTGGTCACTTAATTTTTTGAAAATATTAATGCCCTCTTCAGATTTCAAATTCAATGATATCGATCTCTTTCCATGGCCCAAACAATCTAATGATTGAGTTTCAAGCTATATGATAAAAATAATCAGGATATAAAATATTTATAGGATGAAACTCTTTACTTTAAAATTATACTTTTAGATCGTATTGTGGATAAAATTAACTACTATTATGAAATATCAATCAAAAAGGGAATAAATATCTACAGAAAATAAACGTAAATTTCTAGAAGACACAAATATATGACATGATATTCACTTCGCGTCCAATCGAGCAGTGTCCAATCGATCGGTGTCTAATTGATCAGTGTCGAATTGATCGGTATGTACAATAATTATTATGAAATATGTATGTCGTAATTTGATATAAATTTAATACGGTTAAATAATTAATAATACTTAATTACTTAAATTTAAAAGAAACTTTATACAAAACCGGAATGTCACACATTAAATTAATAAACAATTTAATAATAATACATTTAATAAATTTCATGCCAAAAATAGTTTATCGATATTACCACAAAATGTTTATCATACGAGACAAATGAACGTTATGTTACGAATTTATCTTGACAGCTGATACATATCTTACTATTGAATTGATATTTTACGATATATTATTTCAATATTAATTATGCGTATTAATTATGCACATGTGTGTATAATTAAAAATTAAAAACGTACAAATAGTACAATTCAGAAGCAGAAACAACTTTCTGAAAAATATTGTATTATGTTATGGGCCTCGTGGTACATTCACCACTTGTTATATCATCATGCCTGAACGCGCGAAATGTCAGCTCTGTGATTAGCGAACTTTAATTGCGATTAATTTAAAAACTTTTATAGCTTCGATATTTTTGTATTAGGATTTTTGTCTTAAAATTATCTCAAGAATACGTTTTAAAAGGAAATGCGATAGTTGTGAGACGCCTTGTATATACATGCATGAACAGCTGTTGGCTTTTATAAGTATTAACATTTTTGTAAAAATTAATGCAATATTATCACCTCATTAAATATCAATAATGTGATAATATTAATTTCTGTCGTACTGTAAGCTACAAATGTACTAAGCATGAATTTTGATAAAGTACTCTGATAAAATTTACTTCTAATTACCTTATCCACTCTAATAACAGATGCCCCAAATTCTGCCAAAATCATTCCGCAGAAGGGTCCTGGAGCAAGTCCAGCTAACTCTACGATCTTGATTCCCTTTAAAGCCATAGCGCTTCTGTTGATAAATTAATGAAACTTCAATTTTGTAGAAATGTAGTTGACCTGATATTTATTTACAATACCTTTATTGTTAAAACATTTTTTAACAAAACATTCGATTATATTAACCATATAACATTCAATTATACATATTTGTATTCATATAAAATTTATAAGTATTTCTTTGTCATATACAATTACAAGAAAATAATTATAAATGACACATTCTGCTTTGACGTTAACCCCGACGAAAATAAAGTGTTGACAACCGTTCAATGACGATTTTTTTGAGTTTATACGCTTTTAAACAAGAACGCTTACACAACATCACTGGATTTTAAACACTTTCAGAACGTTTATAAAATATAGTATACATTGTTTCATGAAAGTTCTGTAATGTTAAATCAACGCTTTTCAGAGGACACTTAATAAACGCTGATGCACCTTTGTGTAAAGAATTCACTGTCAAACTTGGAGATGCCCAAAAAATGTCCGATAGCCAAGCACGTTTTGCAAGATCATGCAATTTATTGCTGAGCACAAATTTTCGATTAGTTGCTGTGTATTTGCTGAAAACGTAATACATAAGTATATGTATTCAACAACACAAAGGCAGATTTGAAACATTTCGTGTCAGCGTGTCAGAGAACAACTGTTGCTCATTTTGTTGTCAACAAAATGACTTCCATTCATGGAAAACTTTTCGACTTATTATTCATATTCGATAACGTAAGAGCAAGGTGATAAATCGTTGACAGCAAATACATGGCAAGTTGACAGCAACACATTGAATTCACGTGATGTCATACCACAGGCAAATGACATACACCTTGTTCTAAATTTGCTGAAACTAATGCGCTTTATTTTCAGCAACATGGCAGCAACAACACAGGTGGCCATCAGGGACAAAAATTACGATTTAGTCGGTACACGGAATAATACAGACGGCTTTAGAATCCCTTAAAGTATAATTTTTAACTACATTTTATCTTGTATATTTTTATGTCTAGCTTGTTTCTTTTACTATTTCGTTTTATATTATTCTTCCTGTCTTTGCAATAAATTGATATATCATTAATAAATTTTTTAAGTTCATTTTTAATAATTCCATATGACGAGTTAAGAATAGAATTCGAAGACAAATTGTGTATCACTATGTATTTATTTAAAAATTTCGTGATAATAGTTGCTTTTCATTTGCATACAAGTGAAACTGAGTCTGAAGTGAGCTGAGTATTTAATATTCAGATTAATGACGTCATTATTTGCTTACTTCGATTAAAAAGTTATCACATGACAACACAGGTTCATAACTTCACTTCTAAAGCCAGTTTACTCACTAAAGCACATGGTCTCGATCTTGTGTAGATTACAGACAAAAATTCAGTTAAATCTCACTTGTCAGAATGCAAAAGAAACGCGCATTCAACCGAGTTATGACGTCACAAACGAAATTATCTGAGAATCGGTAAATAGAAAGCAACTATTATATACATACTGTATTATATATAATACATACTTCAACATATTCTACGATATACAATGATGCAGCCACAATATTTATGGATTAAAGAAACGTCTCGTAAAAAGCGCAACTACGAGCGTTACGAAGAACGTGTTAACTCGCACAATTAGATTAATGTTCTTCTTCTTCTTCTTAAGTTATTGGCCAGGCAATCCAAAGGTTGAAATTAGGCCATTGAGATAAGATTAATGTTTTCTGCATACATATATAATGACATGTCTTTTCCACAGACTTCGGGTGCGTTCGTTTAAGCAGTTAAGGCCATCAAGGCCATCACACGTACAAAAATTTTAGTCGGGTCGTAAGGCCGCAAGCAAATTGACCAATCACAATCAAAATTACGATCTCGCGTTTTAAAACGCTCGACTGTGATTGGCCGATTTGCTTACGGCCTTACGATTACGACTAAAATTTTTGTACAGTTCTCGCAATTAAGGGCAACTGTCACCAAGCTCAGTTAACTTAACTGGCCAGTTAGTCCATCGGAATTGACCAATCGCATTTGTCATTTTGTTTGAAGCAAACAACTGAGCTTGGTAACAGTGGCCCTAAGGGCCATGGCACACAAAAAACTTAAGCAGTAAAATGTAAGCGAATTGACCAATCACAGTAGAGTCCATAAGGCCATAACATAAGCAGTAGCGAATCCAATATGTTGATTTCCTTACTGCTTAAGCGGGGAGCACAGACTTTTGCATAACGCATAACATGTAATGCATAAGAAATTCAATCAATCAGAATTCTTTATTTCATGGAAAGGAAGGAAACGGAGAGCTTTGATTGGTACATTTTCTTATGCATTACGTGTTATGCGTTATGAAAGAGTCTGTGCTCCCCGCTTTACGTCTTACTGCCTTAGGGTGAAGTCCCATCAGGCATGTTTGCCGCGTATCGCGTAAGCGCATAACCAATCAATAATCAGTAAAACGCGAAACTATAACAGCAGATCGCTTCTGATTGGTTACGCGGTTATGCGATACGCGATAAATACACCTCATGGGACTCCACCCTTAAGCTTTTTGTGTGCCAGGGTCCTAAGGGGCGCGTTTCAAATTGACAAAGCGGTTAGCCTGCTCGCCAAGCAAATGAACATAATTGGTTGTTACTTATAGATCCAACCAATCATATTTAATCGCTCGGTAAGCATGCCTAGCCGCTTTGCCGTTTTGAACTCGACCAATGCCTTCCACCTCTGTTTTGACATTGCGCGTTACCTTCTCGGTTATTTTCACGTCCATGATCGTAGTCAGACGGAATTATCGACAATATGCGAGTTTCTCCAATCTCTATTGGCTAGTCTGGTTTGTCCAACTACGGCCATGAATGCGAAAACAACCGAGAAGATAAACGCGATGTCTCACCAATGGACGTGATGTTATAGGCTGGGATGGCATTAATTGCACGAATTGTACATACGTATGTTGGCCTTTACACAGGAATGTATACTATCTGCGCAGTTATCTCATGGTGCGGTCCCATGATGCGGAATTGGCGCAATGAGGAATTGACGGAACGCTCGTGATTGGTTTAGAAAAGACATACCGGCGGAGCGCAATTGACGGAATGCTTGCGATTGGACGGACATCGTTCCGCCAATTTCGCATTGCGTATACGTTCCGCACCATGGAACCGCGCATAAAGGCGCGTTCACATCTTGACAGAAAAGCAGAAAGCGGAAAAGCAGCAACCAATCAGAACTTACGATGGTAGTCGATAATTTCGGCTTTTTGTACTACTTACTACCAGCGCGAGTTGTGATTGGCCACTGCTTTTCCGCTTTCTGCTTTTCCGTCAAGGTGTGAACGCGCCCTAAGGAATAGACCTATTGACCGCGGCAAGCGCCCCCACGGTACATTGCACCGTGACGTCACCGCGCCAGCGCTCGGCGTTCGGCCATTTTGTGTGAATGAGCGCTCTCCGTTTTCACGGGGTATTTGTGTTGCGGGATCCGTGGTCAGTGGCGTGCAGTGGCGGAGATAAATTCGGATGATTTAGCTTCGTGTTAAAAAGAATACGCTCGGGCGATCTGATTACATGCGCTAGTGAGGAGTGCAACCGATCGCACGACCGCGTTAACTTCCCGTGCAAAACTGTGGAACAAGTACGATGGAGGATAAAGCGTCGCTCAAGGAACTTGACCAGTGGATAGAACAATTAAACGACTGCAAACAACTGACAGAAAGCCAAGTGAAAACTCTCTGCGATAAGGTACACGTTCGACGTGCTCGTTAAGCATGGCTCCGCCCCGTTCGGAACATCTCCGTGAATGGCCGCGCGTTACGTTAATTATTTTCCGTTATTCGCACACGGCTGTCGCGTGCCGCGTTCGAACGCATCGTCTATCGTTCCGATCTCTGGCTATCTCATATCGCTATCAAACATGATGTCGCCGATGTGTCATGGACGTTATGGGAGTTTACGCCACATTCATGAGGATCATCGGATGCCCCGGAGAATCTCGGGATTTTCCCCATCGTCTCGTGGTCTCGTTCCCGACGGTGAACCGCGACGAATTCACCCCCTTTCTTCTCCCCCGAGAAGCTCGCGTTTTGATGGCCACCTTTTGGTAACGACCGGGGTTCACGATTCTTGATCGATTATTCATGCTTATACGTGCCGTTTTAAACCTGTTAACGCAGTTCTGCAACAGGTGAACGCTCCGTCGTTGCGTCATAATTAATTTTGCGTCGGTGTACGTCTTCCGAGATGACTTATGGCTTTATGACTTGTCTTGAATAGTCTTATCAATTGTGATAATCGTGATGAATGTACTTTATAATATCGATAATAACATCTGTCATTCCTATTTTTCTTTCGATTGGCGAGCGCGATGAGGAAAGTTATTACTTTGCTATGAATCATGCGGCCGCTTATAGACCAAGATATTCATTATATTTAATTAATGTAACAAGAAAAATAAGAATTGTGCTCTAAGTTTATTAAAACACTAGAACTTTAGTATCCTTAAAGAAATTCAATTTAATATTAGTCAATTTAATGCTGAAAAATGGTGATAAATTACTTGTTTTGAATACTAAAAGCACTGGATGTTAAGTACTTAAGTAATTAAAAAAAATTTTTATAAGGATATATATTTGACAAACTGGAAAGACACGTTAATATGGAAATTCTTAAAAGCAATATGATACTTGTGTAAAGGATCATTTGAAAAATATTCTGTACATTTGATTACTTTGAGATTGATTCAGTGTTTCTAGTAGACTGAACTAAATGAAACTAGTATTTTTTAATGAATCTATATTTAGACATTTGAAAATGGTTCTGGATTATAGCTATGACATTCTTTGCAATAATGTTTCTCCATATTGTATTGGTATGATATGCCAGTTGGCCAAAGTATCTGTTTTTCTAAATGTATACCAATAATTATACCTGTAATTGGCAATGGAAATTCATTTGTTATGAGAGAAATTTCTATTTGAGTATTGAAAGATAATTTATAATTAATAACGGTCTATAATTTGAGAGATCTGCGATCATGATATCTTATCACGTTAGTTGATGATAGATCTTTATAACATTATCTCATGTGTTTGTAAAGATGACTTTTTGATTAAGTTTCTAAATGTGTTATATATTATGTATGTAGGGAATAAGGCTTGTTTTGTTTTAGATGAACTTTTATCTCCACAGTTTATCTTTTCTCTTTTTTCTCTAATATAAAAAGAAAATGAGAAAAGATGGACCATGCAAAAAGTTTCAGTTAAAAATAATATACTGTGTGTATGTATATATATATATATAACATATGTATATATATATATGCGCACACACTACACATGATGCATGCACATACACACGCACACGCGCGCGTGCACACACACACACACACACACACACACAGCACAAAACAGCACACTGTCTTGTACTTGTTACAAATTAATCTATTTTTATTTTCAATGGTTTTGACAGCTATATGTATGTGTGTCAGCAATAGTGTTTTATAATACTTAAAAATTTCAGGCGAAAGAAATTTTAGCTAAGGAATCAAATGTACAAGAAGTAAAATGTCCTGTAACAGTATGTGGAGATGTACATGGACAATTCCACGATTTGATGGAATTGTTCAGAATAGGTGGTAAATCCCCTGATACAAATTACCTTTTTATGGGTGACTATGTTGATCGTGGTTATTATTCAGTCGAGACTGTCACTTTGCTTGTAGCTCTTAAGGTATAATACAGTATACAATTATTATAATTTTATTAAATTGTCATGCTTTATTAACACTGTTAATGTATTATATTTAATTGTACAGTATATATATACATTAATTTCTTCGAAAAAATAAGATATATATATTTATTTTTTTTTCTCCGATTTGTTTTGTACAATTAAAGGTAAGATATCGAGAAAGAATAACCATTCTGCGAGGAAACCACGAATCAAGACAAATTACACAGGTGTATGGATTTTATGATGAATGCTTACGTAAATATGGAAATGCCAATGTGTGGAAATTCTTTACGGACTTATTCGATTATTTACCATTAACGGCATTGGTCGACGGCCAAATATTTTGTTTGCATGGTGGTTTGTCACCGTCGATTGACACTTTAGATCACATACGTGCTCTAGATCGTCTTCAGGAAGTACCACATGAAGTTAGTATCAGCAATTGTAATGTTTATAATAATTATTGTGATAACAGAACTTAATTTAGTATTATAACTGTCTATTATTTAATACAGGGTCCTATGTGTGATCTGCTTTGGTCAGATCCAGATGATAGAGGAGGATGGGGTATTTCACCCCGTGGAGCAGGATATACCTTTGGTCAAGATATTTCTGAAACGTTTAATCACTCCAATGGGCTAACACTCGTTTCACGGGCTCATCAATTGGTTATGGAAGGTTACAATTGGTATGAGTAGTTTGATTCGTTTAGATTAAAATAAATTTTTTTCTTTTATACATATACAGTTCAACCAAGGATATTTCATAAGAAATCTATAATATACATATAATATTGCTTGTGATGCATACTATCTCTTCTTTCAGGTGTCATGATCGCAATGTTGTAACTATATTCTCAGCACCTAATTACTGTTATCGTTGCGGTAATCAAGCTGCAATCATGGAATTGGATGATGCTTTGAAATATTCATTGTGAGTATGACTTTAATAATAATAATATAATGGCTCAATAATAATAAATAAACATAAATTAGGGCTACGAGCCAATCAATGATATATTTAAATATTAAATAGACGTTTCGACCTTTTGTCAGGCCATCTTCAGTGTTTACAAAATTTAGAAAATTAAACGCAATAAAATAAGTTTTTGTAACGATTGGATACACATAATTCTAAAATTATAATTACGCTAATATAAATGATGGTGGTGATTTTTCGTTCGTCTATGCTGTAACAATATAATCCCTACTCTCTTGTAATTAGTTATTAGTAAGGCAACCAAAATTATGCTGTAAAAATCCCTTTTTAAGCGCCTAAAATATGCTGTGAAATTGAAAAAATGCTCTAAAGAAAAGAATATATGCATTTGAAAATTACGTTTATCGCACAAATTTTCAAATTATTAAGTTTTTTTACTTATAATATCAAAGTAAAATGAATTTAATAAAATTTGTTTACATTTTTAAAAAATTTAATTAGTCTTACAGGGCATTAAAATTAAACAAATACATATTATTTATTATAGTGACTCTATAGAGAGAGAGAGAGAGAGAGGGGGGGAGAGAGAGAGAGAGAGAGTCTTTGATATTATGTATT